CAAACAGTGAAGAAACTGGAGAGGAAACACACCACAATTCAATCACTCTGTCTTCCTGCCCCACAAAAGACAGCAGGACATGTCATCTGAGAAAGTCTATGAGCCTTCAACCTTTACTGCTGACTCTTCAGCCAGAGACGTCCACTGAGAAGTCACTGCTGCATCAAAACCTGCAGTGCTATAGCAATGCAGAAGGCAGCATCTGTCTCCCTGTTCACTCCAGCAAGAAGGCACTTACATGGGCATCATAGGAACATCACCTTTGGAGCATTTATCTCTATGTCTGTACACAAGTATTCTTAATGAAAGAGCCCAAAGCCTGTCTCCAAACACTGGGCCCCAGGCCACCTCACCAAGGAGGACATGATCTGCACCAAACCTGGCTGGGACCATGCTGATGACACTCAGGCTGATAAATATCCTATTCTGCTGAAGGAAAAAAAATCCACCAGACTGCCTCAGGCTATGGTGGGAAAGGCTCCTTCTGCTCCCTGCATGGGCTGCGGTTAGTGTCCTTCAGACTGTGGGCAGGGTGGGAACTCCTCCCTGACCGCCTGTGGTGAACTCAGCGGAGCACAAAGCCAAACTGCTTTTACAGCTTCACCTGCCCAGATCCCTAGCTCTCACCCATCCTGCCAGTTGGCCAGTCCACCCCAGAAGGCAGCTGCCTGTTTGTCTTGGATGACCTCCTGCCAGACCAGAGCTTTGCACAGCACAGCTCTTCTGTGCTGCTGGAGAGCAAGTTTCCTGCTGTTTGATCTAAATTTGCCTGTCGTTTCACCGAGTGCTTAATGATTTACTTCATCAAACCCAATCTTTCCATGAGTGAAGTGGCCCTGCCGCCCAGGGCTCTTTGTAGGCCAGGTAGTCAGAGAGCAAATGCTGCAGGTCCGTACATCCTCCGTCCCTGGAGCTGGAGAGGACCTTCCCTCCCTTCCCAGGTGGATCAAGCATGGACACGCAGTGCCCTCTGCTGATCTGGCCACCGAGGGAGATGCAGGAGGGAGCAGCAGGCAGGGCTCGACATCTTTGCAGACTTCTGAATGAGCAGCCAAGCCTCCAGCCTCCCTGCTAGCATTTTGCTGGCAAGGCAGGGACAGTACATTTCTCTCTGGTGATAAATTGCCATTAATGACAGCTCTGGGAGCAGCTGTTTGAAAAGCCAAGCTAGTAGAAGAGGCCCAGGTCGTCCCATCAGCCAACTCCACACCTGCAGATTATAGCTACCCAAAGAAACTGAGACATCTTCACTATCCTCTGCAGTCCCTCTAGGCCTGAGCAGTTCTTTCCTTTCCTATGCAATGGGGAAGGGGACAGCCTTGCAAGACCAGCAGAGCATTAAGGGACAAAAAGTCAGCATGGGGGACTTGTTTGGCTGGAGTTGGTAGAGCCCTACAGAGGCCCTCCAGGTATGATGGACCTGGGTTGCTTCAGCGCAGAAGACAAGAGTTTGACACAGCCCCCAGATCACTCTGGGTCCTCACCATCACACTGGAGCAAACCTGGAGTTGCTCCTGAAGCAGTGCCCAGGCATGGGGCTGGCAGGACACTCATGGCTCACAGTAGCTTGCACTAGAAGAAACCACTTTGTTTTAATTTTCCTCCACCCTGTCAAACCCTTTCTGATTCATTTGAAGGTGAAGAACCTCAAGTGAGATTTATAGGCCACAATACAGGCAGCAAAGTCTACTCCTAGTTAATAAAATTCACTTTAAGAGATAGAAGCCTATTAGCACATGGAGAATAATAGACGTTTATAACGTTGGCAGCAATCTGACCCCCAGCAGGTTTACGTGGCACAAGCAATGTCCAGCTAGATAGTCATCTCCTAGTCTCGGACTGGAATCAGCTCCTTGCCCTGACTGCAAAGACTGCATATTCCTTATCTCTGCTTATCTCACCACCAACATGCAATGCATTCAAGTTTTAATTGCTTTTCCCTCTCCATTATTTTTTTCCAGGACTACTAGGTGATCAGGACACAAAGCAAGTGGAGAAAAATTTGCCTTAGTACTGCACTTGATTCCAAGGCAGGGCTTACTTCCTTCTAATTTCTAGCCATGGCTTTTCTAATGCTGCCAGTCCCCTTCTCTGGGTATCCATGCCCCCTCTCTGCCATCAGTCCCACATATGACATACGATCTTCTTGGACAGAAAAGACCTCTGCACCTTCATACTATGCCTCAGTCTCCTTATTCTTTCAGCTGAGAAAAATGTCACAGCTAAGGGCTAATGAGAAAAGTCAAGTCTCTCCTGCAAACCAAAGCATAATTTCAGAGGGGAGGAGCACATGAAACCACACACAGCATCAACACAGAGCCAGCCTGAAAACCTCAGTGCCTCTCTCAAGACCTCTCATTTAGTGTGATCTCTCTCTCATGAGCACTGCTGGAAGTGTTTCATGGATGTATCAGACCAGAACACTCCTCCTTCCCCAAAACACAGCCACTACTGCAACAAAGCCTGGCCTCTAACGGATGACAACAGTGGCATGCTTTAGGTAAAGCAAAAAGAGAACACACAGCCACACAAATTCTCCTAAGAGGAAGAAATTATGGTCAGGCTACACATGCCTGATGCCTTCTGGCATAAAGCCTTGATTTCTGTAAGGGGCATTGCAAAACCATCCTTTTGCAAGGTGCTCACATCCTTTAGGAGGGAACCAGGGATACAGCTGAACGTCAGTGGCAGAGGCACCACAAGGAGCTACCCCTGCTTCCATGACCCACATACCCTTTTGCCAAACTCCACCTCTGGCCCTGGCATGCTGAAAGCGCATGGCTGGTACCTCTGCACAGCACCTAATCAGGAGATACCGCTGGGACAACCACCACCCCTCTGAGCACAGTATCTTCTTGTTATCTCACAGCCACTGTAAAGTGCTGGCAGGAGAAATGCTGAATCAGGAGTGCTCAGCTGGAAGAAATTAGTTGGTTTTTTAGCACCAGCATGGCCCCATTCCTACTTAGGGAGAGGAAGATGGACCCCGTAAGTGCACTTCAGTGCCTTGCTCCCTGGGGAATAGCTTGGTTCAAGCCTAGATGATATGTGCTGGAGCCAGGCAATGAAGAGGCCTAGGGGACCCACAGCACACCTTTTGACAACTCAGACTTTTTCCTAGTACCTTCTGGCCTCTCCTTCATAGGCCTGCAATGAGGTACATTGGCCACTGATGTTACTTCCAGCAGCAACAACCAGGAGCTCCCACCTGATTAGGGTTGAGCTCCCAACCCTAATGCCAGCCCCATGTTCTGTACCACTGATGTTTTGTACCACCAGCATGTTGTTAGCCTTGGGAAGGCAGCAAAACCCACAGCCACTCCTCAGGAGCCTGCCCTGAGCAGGCAAACTCTCCCATTTCCCTGAGCTCTGCAGCCCTGCCTGATAAAGGATGAGAAGGAGCCGCTCAGAGAAAAGGAGAAGAAAACACTTTCAGCACTGGCTCTCCTCCCATCAGACAGAGAGTACACAGCTGTACAAAGTCCCCAGGGTACAGCCCTGGGATGGCCCCATGACATGGCCAGGCCAGTCAGTGACAGCTACAGGGAACAGCCCAACTTTCCAACCTGTCAGGGCTCTGTGGGGCACAGGACCAATCCTTGAGTTCAGGGAGGAGATACAGCCATCCAGGCCTCCCACTCTGCTGCACCCAGAAGATACCCACTGGCACCAGAAGAGTTGGGGAGAGGAGGCACAACACTGTTGAAGCTCATGTCCCAGCCATGCCAAGGTTTTACCAAGGCTCAGCTGTGGGAGCAGCTTCACCCCACTGCTGACCAGTTTCAGTGTCCCCAGTACCTGTTCACAGGCACACTCCCTGCCTCAGTTTCTCCAGGTGTCAAAAAGTATACCCCCTGGCAAGAGCCAGCCTGGGCTCTTTCACATTTTGTGGCTACTCCAACTGTGACCACTTGGTCTCTGCCGGGCAGGATAGGAGGGCAGCAGGCAGAAAGGGTGCCCCTGCCTGCTCCCTTAATCACCTTTTCCACCTGGGTGGTCACAGAAAGCAGCCAGCTGAGCTAGCCTGGAGCCAAGGAGCACCTCTACCAGGTACCCAGTGCTGTTTGAAACTCTCCAGCTTCTGCTAAAGAAGCTGGACACACTCCAGAGGGGTCAGTTTATTCACTGTCTCCAAGCCGTCAGCACAGCCGGCATCTACCTGCATCCCTGCCTGCCTGCTTCTCTGCCTGCGGCTCTTGCAAGGCGACATTGCCATCTGCTGCCTGCTGCTCAGCAGGACATGCCAGTCTGCCTCTGCCACCCAGGCCTGGCCCTCCTCCATCTCCACCAGCAGGCGACTGTCCCTGCGGGGACCCTCCAGCACCGAGATCCACAGGTACTGGGGCAGCACCCATGCCACCATCCCCAGAGAGAGCTGCCTTTTGCAGATGCCCCACTGGCACCAAACCCTGTGGGCAGCACAGAGCTCACAGCTCCAGCCCAGCAGTGAGGAGCACAAGGCAGCTGCACTTCAGCATCTCCAGGTCTACCCTACTCAGGGGCTTTGTACGTGGCTGGTACACTGGTTTGCAGCCAATGAACATGCAACTGCACAGCAGCACAGGGATGGCAGAGAAGTGTCCCAAACTAGCGCCATGTCCCTTACTGACAGCCAAGCTTTGCAAGTGCCAGCCTCACCATTCAGCTCCTGTTTAGCAAGCTCCTGTCACGGAGTGCTGCCCTCAGCTCTACGGATGACTCACCTGAGGAGCAGGAACACACACCACCTCTTCTGCCTTGGGTTCTTCATCTGGAAACACAAAGATTTTTCTTTAACTCACAGCCACACAGAGACACATTTGCTTATTTTAAACTTTGAAGCACCTACATATTGTTTCTACAGCCTAAAGCAGAAGATGACACCAAAGGGAGAAGAGTAGTAATTATCTGCACTTTAGTTTAACCTTTAGAGAAGGAATTGGGCTTCCAGCTATACTTATTAAAGGCTTTTAAATGATCTTTTCAAAGGGGCCATGCAGTTTATAATTGAGATTATCCACCTGAGGTTTGCCAAAAGCAGGCCTGGGTTTATAGGTCACCAACACAGACTAGGGTTGATGGTTGCTCTGATCTTCGAGAGGGACAAGGTCACAGCAGATGGCATAGTAACACAGTGCTGGAGTCACTGCAGGCAAAAAAACAGGAGAAATGTGGATTTTCCTTCCCAGTTACTTACATGATGCTGGGGACTGTCCCCAAAGCCTGGCTGAAATTTAATAAGAAGCATCACACCACGAGACCTCTGTAGGGGTCTAGATGACTTCTTACAGGAACTTACAAACACAGCAGTGCTTCTGTAGGAAACAGCATACACCAGTTTCTTGCATTAACTGGTGGAGAGTGTTGGGGGTGAACAGCTACCAACATTGATGCAAGAGGGGGAAGGAGATTTGTGTAATTGCTGTTGTAGGAGGTGGAAAGTGGTTGCATGTGAGGAATCACTAATCTTTACTCAGAAAGCAGCAAGGGCTGAGGAGAGCTCAAGTGTGAACGGATGAGATCCTTGTTATTGATTCCTCCTTTATATTAGAACAGCAGTTGGATCCACTAAAGTGGCACCTGCCAAAATACAGTGTGCCTGAGGACCAGCCAAGCCCAGCAGGCCTAGAAACTTGATGTCTCTGCTTTGAAATTCACTGGTAGGATCTAAGACAATCAAGTGCTGAACAATACACTCAAAAAAGAAAAGTTATCCAAGATGTGGGACCCAGCCACTGGACTGAGGGTTCTTGCTTTGTAGGTTGGGTGCCATGCCAGAAGTTGGAAATGAGAGAACCTTGGACAGAGCAGGAGTGTCAGTACTAAACTGGTTCTGAATTTAAAAGAAAATCTAATTTTAAAGAGTTCTCCATCTCCAGACAAGAGAAAATGCTTTCCTCCATGGGGATAAATATGTCTCATGTTATCAACAGTGAGCACAAATCTAGCAAGTGCATCTGTCACCTCCACTTTAGGGCTGCAGTGAGTTACCACAAGAGATCGTTAACATTCACACTCCAGAATGCTGAGATTAACTAAGGTATCTGAGGTCACATTGCTGCCGGGTCCTAACGGGTGCAGAAATGCATAGCCAAAAGCAGCACAGGATCACCAACCTAACTGTGGCCTGGGAGACTTGAGGGAAGCTGGGAGCCAGTGTCCCTTACCCTATTCTGGACAGACCACAAGACACACTCTCTGCTGGACAAGACACTTGGCCACACACCTTGCAGCTGGTCATGAGGGACAATGTGAATGAATTAAATCAGGCTTGTCTGAGAGCAGAATTACTTTCCCCTTCTGTCAGGGATGGCACTGAGATTTGATGTGCTGTTGCTGCAGTATTATTTCCTGTGTTTTACACCCATGTGGCCTCAGACACACAGCCTGCTCAGTAGCTGCCCCGAGAACCCAATCTCCCCAGTTGCTGGCACCATTGCTTCTCTGTGGGCAGGCAACATAGTATTTATCCCTTAACCTAATGATGGTAACCAAGGAAAATACTAGAGGGATCTCAGATCAGTCCAGGGACTGCAAGGATAAAGGGAGCACTTCACAAAGAAAAAATAATTAAAAAAAAATGCACTTACCTGTGTGCTGTAGATTTTGTGACATCTTTTTCTTCTTAAATCACCATTTTCTCACCCAGGTCATATGACTAAACTTTCTTAGTATATGGCATAAGACTTTTTCTTGGCTGCATCTTCAGCATGGAACTCTGCTGCAGTGAAAAAACAGTCCAGGAGAACTCATTGCCCACAGACCTGAGCTGGGACAACAGTTTACTGTATTTTTCCCTGACAACATTTATCCCCTATTTCAAGAGGCTGAAGGGGAGGCTGCTATTCATCAAAATTACCTTATTCTTCTGCAGGATGTATTTTTCTTTCAGGCTGGCCACAGCAGCATGCCTGCCCTGGGCAGGGAAAGTGCTCTGCATGGGGAAGGCCACCCCCCTCTCCCTTCACCCCAGCACAGCTGGAGGGAAACCAGCAATGCCAGGGTCACCATAGGACCATACAAGCCCAGCACTACTTTCAGCAACCTGGATTAGAGAGGGAGCTCCAGCCCTGGTCCCTGCTTTCTTCATAGCTTGTGAATGAGCCCATTGATGATGCTCCTCTCACCATAATGAGCTGAACCTGCCTCCAACCTCTGCAGATCTCTTTCCATGACTTTCTCCTGCCCTCTGGTCTTTAAACCATCCCTTGTTTGCATGCAGTGACAACTTCCCTGCAAGTTCAAATCCTACCTCTATTCACCAACCCAAGCTAAACCTCTCTCCTTCACAGAGATGCTGCCAAGACATGGCAAATGATTTTTGCTGGTATGGTATGGTTTGCTTCAGTGCAAAAAGAGGCTACATGGGAAAGACCATGGGAATAAAACTGATGGGAGGAGTATTGCAGACTACTGGGTGCAGGGATGCTAACATATAGAGAATACTATAGGGGTGGATAATGTCCTGGGTTCAGCAGTAGCAGTCATGTTTCTCCTTCATGGTAGCTGGTGCAGTGCTGTGTTTTGACTTCCAGCCTGGGAACAGTGTTGGTGATACCGATGTTTTCGGTTGTTGCTAAGTGATGTTTACCCTGATCAAGGACTTTGTGAGGCTCATGCTCTGCCAGGGAGGAGGGGAAGCCGTGAGGAAGCAGAGATGGGGCGCCTGACCCAGGCTAGCCAGGGAGGTATTCCATACCACAGCACGTCATGCCCGGGGTGGGGGGTAACTGGGAGTTACCTGGAAGGACAGTGGCTTCCGGGTGGGACTTGTTTCTTGGCTGGTGGTATTGTATTCTCTTCCCTTGTTATTCTCCCTTATCATTGTCGTTGGTAGTAGCGGTGGTGATTTGTGTTGTACATTGGTTGCTGGACTGCTCTTGTCTCAACCCGTGGGAGTTGCACTCTTTCGATCCTCCTCCCCGTTCCTCTGGGAGTGGGGAAGGGGAGAGCCCGGGGGGGGGGGGGGGGGGGGGGCCTTGATTGTTGTCAGCCCGGCACCACTCATTGGGAGTGAGTGAACAAGTTGCCTGACTGGGTTTAAACCACGACAGTTCCTCACATACACAGTCACACAGCAGCAACCTCATGGCCCAGCTGGCTATGACTCCAGAAGGAAATAGGTTTATATGTCTCTGGTTTCCTGTGGGCACCACAACATTAATTCCATTGAGTTACTGGATCTAGAGCTGTCTCCAAGACACATGCTGTCATTTACTGCATACATGAAGTTCAAAAGATGAAAAACAGAGGAAACAAGCACCTGGGGAGCAGACAGTGGGATGGCAATGGCTTTGTCATTGTCACCACCTTGCTAGTGGTACTGTGCCGGGAATTATCTTCAAGATGCTCCAAGTGCAGCCTAGGGGTAAGCACCCCTTCCCACATGCTCCCCCAGTTCCTGACAACAGGATCATATTCCCGTATTTGCACGTGCAAAGCCCTGATCAGCAGTACAAGTCTGAAGGCTGCTCTGTAACATTTTTGTTGAAACATTGCCAGGACTTTGGGGGATTTAATTTCTGCTAATTCCAAATAAAACAACTGTAGGCAGAGAGTCCTCAGTGCTGAGACTGCCTACAAAGTGAGCAGCTCAAAACAAAGTGAAAGGTTTGATTTCGATGCCAGGGAGGACACAGAAATACTCAGCGTGAGGAAGTGAAAGCTAAGCAGTGTGTGTGAGACAGGCAATAAGAGAAATGGGGAGGAAATATCCCTGTGGGAAGGCTCCCACACCAGAGACAGAAACACACAGTGGACTTGGAAGGAGGGAGGGAGAAACCACTTGCATGGTGGTCAAGACCAACTAGATAGTGAGAAATACATCTTGAAGAGGAGGAAAAACAGAGGTTAAGCACAGTGCACCGCGGACAAATTGAAGGTCACAGCATGAAGTCCTGGGAGAAGAAGCACCCAGTGAGCTCTACTGGAGCTCTCCCTGGCAGAAGTGGAAATAGCATCTAAAAGCCAGGATCAGGCAAAACTCTCCAGGTGGGTGCACCAGGAGGCATAACTTGAGCAGGCAGGGCAGGCAGGTAGGGCAGCCTTGCTGCATTTCCCAGGCTGCTTGCTCAATGCAGGCAGCAAGGCTGGGGCGAGGAGAGAGGCTGCACCTCTAGAGGCTCTCCAGCTGCTCCCACTGCACACTAAAGGGCAAGCCAGACACTGGTGGATTTGCATGGGATGCTCTCATCTCCCATGCAGGGTCCTGTGGGCTGCTCCTGCTGGACTAGCTGCCCCATCGAGGTAAGTCTCTGCCAGGTGGAGTTCGGGGGAGGCACACAGGCCTGAGGGTGATGGGGAGCAATGTTGGTGGGGGGGACCCAGAGAAGAAACAGGCAAGAGGCCACTGGTGACTGTCCCCTTCTGCAGTGAGACCTCCAGATGCCCCTGGCATCACTCAGTGTAGATGACTGTCTTTGGAAAGTGGCTTCAGGGAAACAGGTTCACTCTTCTGACATGTGCATGAGCAGCTTTCCTACAGGTGCTCTCCTGCCTCTCCACAGCAGTGGACTGAAGCAGGCTGGACAGGCCATACACCATTGCCCATAGCTTTCCTCCTGGGGAGCAAGGAAATAGATAAAAGCAGCACTGGCATTTCCCAATGCTCACAAGTGCTGTCTCTGTCAGCAGCAGGCTTGCTCAGGCTCAGCCAGCTGGCTCAAAACTATTCAGCAGCCTCTGAACAAGGGTGCTGGGGAATGCTAGTAAAGCTGCATCCAAAGGGGAATTCAGCATACAAAGAGTATTACACTGCACCTCCTGGCAGTGAGAGGAATAGGGCTTCTCCCTTTCTCTGCTGGGGTTTGCAACAGGCTTTGTCTTCCTGAGAAGCATGCCCTCATCCTCCTACCTCCCCAGCCTTGCAGCAGCATGGGAAACATGTTGCTCTTCAGACACCTCATGCACCATGAGCTCCTTGGAACATTTTACACATGCACATGAGAGCAGGGCAGAGCTCTCTAACCTGCTTGCAAAGAGCACTGGAGGGTCTCGGCACTGCATGTCCCACAAACAGCAAACCCATGGGTTGCTGGCTGCCTCTGGCTCATTGTCAGGGTCTGACTCTAATTGTCTTTAAATGTTCCACATGAAAGAGGGGAGTAGAAATGTGGTTGCACTGCTGCTTCCATGCCTGGGGGCAAGAAGGAGCTTGGCTTGCCCATAACCCTGCCAGCAGGACATCTGCTCTGCTGAGCTAGTTGGGTGGGCTGCTGGACAGCTTTCCCACCTTCACCATCACAGCTCCAAACCCTCACTCTCACCCTCTTGCTATTTTTAGTTCTCTAGAACTGCTCTGTGTGCCCAGGTGACCTTTATTAAAACTGTATTTTTTAATACTGCGTGATTCTGCATTAATATGGAGCTCTCTGCTGGGCCCTCCAGGAATGGAAGAAGCAGCTACTGCTCGCTTGGCATTCTAACATGTGAGCTCATTATCTGTCAAGAGAAACAGTCACTGGATCTGAAACCTGGCAGAGCATCAAGGTCTCTGTAATTAATAACGTCTGCATTTTGTTTCCTGATGGTTCTGTATTTAGAAAAGCAGAAAAATAGGGTAAAAGTGCAGAATATAAAAATCCATGCTTTCAAATAAGCACTGTAGCCATGAGAAAAAAGGAAAAGGACATCAGATACAAGCATAAATCAATGTGAGTAAAGACAAAATCAGCTACATTAAGAAACAGCTGCCTGGGTGCTTTCTGCTCCTCATGCCTGTTGTTCCTTTCTGCTCCAAAATCCAGGTCCCCTACTGCAATGGTCCTTAGGGGTACAAGAGCCTTAGAGGTGTCCATTTCACCTTCCCCACTGCAAAGACCACATATCTTCCTGGCATGGCGTGGAAGAACCCTGACTCATCCTAAGGACAAGCAGTTGAGGGAGAGCTGCACAGCCAGAAGAAAACCAGGTTGCAAGTTTCTCTGTACCCCAGGGAGCCTCCAACACAGTTTGCAGAGAAAGAGGAGGTGGTCAGCAAAATGCAGGCTGATCAAGCACAAGAGAAAGAGGGAGAGCTCAGTCACTCATGCATTATTTATTTCTGATCCCTCTCCCTCCAGGAAAAGAGGATCCCAGCTTGGCCAGCATGGTATCTATCCCCTTGGCAAGCACCCCGTCCTGACTGTGCAAAGGCGCCACATATATTTCATGGGATGGTGAAAACCCATCACCCTTATCAGTTAAGTAGATACACAGAGTTTAAATTCCCTATGGAAATGGGCAAGGAAAACCAAACTGAAGCCTGAACCCACCTTTTCTGCCAATGAGATGAGCACTGCAGAACACAACCCTTTCACACAGAGTATGCTGGATAGGGTAATTACAGCCAAAATATTTGGACCCCTTGTTCTCCTCTTGGGAGAGCCCTTTCCTGAAGCACTGAGTGTTTCTACAGCAATAAGCTGCTTTCTGAGACCAAGAATAGGGACTAGACAGTTGGTAAAAATGGTTTCTCTCAGGTACCTGATAGCTGAGGCAATTAAAAGAAAATTAAACTGACATTTCTAACTTGCAGTGTAAGAGATGTGCAGTGGTGAAATAATTAAAAGTTACTGCTGGGAACATACTGTTTTCACCCATCTGTTGCAAAGAACAAAAGGGCAAGAAGTATTTCTGGCTTTTTTTTTTCTTTCTTCTTTCTTCTTTGATAATTGCTACTATTGATGCATCCCCAAATGCTAGAAGTGAAGGGTTTACCAAATGATGGCAGACATATTTGTGATTGGTACCTGGTCTGGCCTCGCTTGGTGATGAACAACATTTTACCAGCCAGATCTCCCTGCTCAAATTATTCACATGAAGGGCTCAAGTCTTCATTTTCTGGCATATAGCGCTTGCCTGAAAGATCTTTCCATCAACTGCCTGGGGGCAGCTCCATGATGAAGCTGTACTCCCACCCCTTGCTGTCTCTTACTGTCCAGCATCATTTGCTTCCCCACCAGCTACACAAATGTACCAACTGTATCTGAGCCTTTCATACAGGGGAAATGGTTCTCTGGATGGGAAGACCCACCTTGCATCATCCTCATGCAGATAGGACCACACTGCCAGCTCCTCCCAAGAGCTCAGCTTGCCACCCCTGCAAAGGGACTTCCTAGCTGTTTTTCACAACTCCACAAAACACAGTGGTCAGGAAGGAAGATTCACCCCCTATCTGAGTGTCCTGTAAGACCTGAAAGACAAGGAATGGCCAGGGGACACAGCAGATATGCTTTGCCAACCTCTTCATTGCAGTAAGTGGCCTCACATGTGCGAGAAAACAGAAAGCCCCTTCCACCTTTTTCATAGCTAAAAGAAGAGTGATATTTATTAAGTGCCTGCTGACCAGATGCCAGTATGGTCAGGATCCAAGTTCCAAAATGCTCTTCGCATGAGCCTCATACTTCTTGACAGAACCCCAAGTCATCCCTGCCTTTATCATTACCTCCAGCAGCCAAGCTTGGCTTACACTGTAGCCCATCACCCACAGGCACCCCTCTTCTGGCCCTTTCTTCCACCCTTCCTGCTATGGCAGCCTGATGCTGGGTTCATTTGCAGAAGGCAACAGTAGCATCAGAAAGTTTCTGATGTTTCCTAAGTCAGAGTATCCCCAGATTTTAGTCTCTCTCATGCAGAACAAGGCTTAGTATTACCCTGGGCTGGTGTTTAGCACTGACCTTCTGGAAGAGACAACAGGGCTCTGCGTAGTTTCAGGACCAGCATCCCCTTTCCCCACAAGATAAGCAGGTAAAGGATGAGGCCCAGAAATGTAGCAGGTGTGCGCTGCTCCAGAGTCCACATCAGTCTGCTTCAGCCTGTCCAACTTCCCATATGCAAGCTCTTCCAGGAAGGGTTTGGAGACCAGTCTGGAAGACTAAGGAAGATGCATGCTATGCTGACTCCATCATTTCCACTACCAGGAATGGTGGTCATGTTTTATGGGTCTGTACACAGCCAGCAAAATCTTTACAAAGCAGGTCAGAAAAGTAATTTAAAACTCTTCCTCAAGTTTCCTGATGAAAGAAGAAAAAAAAAAAACAGTTACAGCAAACTGTGAAACAGAAAGGAAGTCAGGTCAAGACAGGTGCACAATGCACTCAGCAAGGCTCTGCACTGGAAATTGCTAAAAGCCCACCAGATTTGCTTCCCCATTTCAAGTATGAACAAAACAGATCAAGCTGGGCCCTTCCCTGCTCAGAGCTGGCTGTCTTCTATATCACAAGAAATCACATCAGTTTGAGGAAGCATATCCAGAAAGACAGCTGTCCTTGTTTCCAGTTTGGAGAGGAGCAGAGGTCCTTCACCCTTCTGCCTTGGTGGGTCTGACCTTCACAGCAACATTGCTGGCAGCACTACTCTGCACTTTAGAAGGATGTCCATCCTGCACTGCTGGGATATTGCTTCTGGATTTCTTATTCTGCCCTTCACGGTGATAAAAACCTGCTGAAGAGCTGAGCCCTGGTCCCAGGTCACTTGGCCATGCAGTGCTACTGAAGACATGCAAATATATCTGTAACTGATGATATATAAATGCACTTATAATAAATATCCTTGTATTGTAATAGTACTGTAGCTGCCAAGCATAGGGGGGGAACCTAGCCTTATTTTTCACTCTTGCAATGATTACTGTCTGATCATTACGAGCTTGATGCTGTGTCATAGTATGCAAACAGAGAAGGAAATAACGTAGTTAAAACTGGGGATATTCTTTTTGTTTACATAAACTCCCCTGTCCTGGAGGTATTCTAAAGCTGCTCTTGTATCTAAAGTGAATACACTGGAAATAAATACTACCTACTCATGTATGCCACAAACAAGAAAATCTCTTGTGCTTTTAGCTCACGTATGCTACTGTGGTCTCGAGCAAATCCAGGTATTTGTATAGATGGATAGTGTTTCAGTGTCTACTACTGCATGCAAGGACTGTACATCTGCATATGTTCAGAAGTAATACAAGACATGAGGTCTTGCAGCTACCCACAGATGTCTTCCTGTACCTCAACCCAAGTCAAGAAATAGTTCCAGTGTTGCAGACTCCTGGCCCTCTCTGATCTGGAATCACCAGCTAGTTCTTGGCAGCTACAGTACTGTTTTCTTACCTTATTAACAAAGGTATTGCATGGTAAATATGCCTGTGCATGTGGAACACAGAACAAAGGAAAAGCTACTACTCTACAGCCTTTCTGACCCTCTGTGATGGAAATAAGTTGGGCAGAAGGAATGTAGCAAGGAGACAGGAAAATTAGCAAAAAGCCATTCCACTGTTCCTAAACACCATGTAGCAATCAAAAGTACTTGCACAATCAGGATCCCCTGCCTAGCTCAGAGCTCCATCCCTATGCTTGTGTCCAAGTGCTTGCTGTAATGCCCTGGCAATGGTGGCCTGTGAAGGAGTCCTTTGGACAGCACAGCATCAAAGGGAACCACTTCTTCCATGGCCTTTACAGACAAAATGAGCTACCAGATACACTGGCCATTCTGAACAAAGAAAAGTTACTTCTGCTGAAACCACACACTTCGAAACCTCTCTAATGAAGCAATGCTGTAGAGCAGGTATATTTGCTCACTATTTCTCTTCATGCTTCAGCTAGATACTGTGACTAGCTATGTCTGATGTAGACTATCAGCATCTCAGTCTGACACCGTTAAGAGTGTCAGGGCCATTTCTAAACCTTTATATTAAGTGACAGAAGTGACAGTCTCTGGGTTAAATTAAGCTCCAATGGATTTCCTGCAGCTTACACGGAGTTAGTGGAAGTTTCTTTGAAGAGGGTTCAACACGCTCTTCCCAGAAACCATCACATTTTAATTACTCGTTTCACACATCCAAGCACCTTACATGCAAGTCAACCTTCCCGGCAAGTCAACCTTCCAGGCAAGTATCTTTTTAATAACCTTTTAGTTAAGCCTAGTAGTTTTCATTTCACCAACCATTTACTCTTCCCATTAAACAGACCTTTGTTCAAAACACTTACACCATTATGCTCTTACAGATACAAATTTCACCAACTGCTTACACCAAAAAGCAGAACAACTAGATGTTCCCAATTACAGCTGTCTAAGCAGAACAGTCACACAACATAAAAGTACACATATTAGTGCAGTTTAATTGGATATTAAAACCCACTGCAGAAAGAGCACTGCATACCCGAGGGGAAAAGCGAGATCCTGAAAAAGGGAGATTGTAGCCAACAACTTCAAAATGGGTTTAGGTTAGGGTGGAAACTTAATGCATGATAGCCTCTGGAATGGCTTTGTCACCTTGATATCTGCCCTCTCTCTAGGTCACTTCAGATTGTGTTGAACAGCACGGTCCCCACAGAAAGGGCACTGATGACCTCTTTCTGCAGATTATTTAACCACTTTTTACACACAAAGATATTTCCTCTTAAGAGAGGCTAAGCAGCCCTCAGCAAGACTGACCCTTTGCTAAGGAGCCCCATCAAAAGCCCTTCAAGAAACCTAAAACTGTACTGGAACTACCTGCAGAAGGGAGTTTGGAGACGTCTCACTCACAGCTGTAGTGAACGCACATGGTATGCAGGGTTCAGCCATCCCAGCAGAGGTATTTGCATTACAAAAGGACATAATTTCAGAGACAACAGAACACATCCCCAAGAAGCGGGATGCAGATCAGTTCCATAATCTGGAGACTTCTTTGAGGAATTAAACTGACCCATGAGTGAGGCTGGGAGAATTAGTCTCCCATTCATAATCATGCTAAAGTGTTGCTGTGCACGGTGGTTCAACTTGGTCTGAGCCAAGGACCTCACATCAAACACAACAGTACTCACAACTGCAGAATGCCTGCTCAGCTGTTGCATGGGTGGAAGGTGCTGAGCAGCCATTGCCAATTTTTACTCTATGAAATATGCAAACAAATGGCACAATCAATACTTTACACTAAACAGCCTAACAGTAAATGCAAAGGTACATTACCCTGAAGCTTTACTTTCACTCTGCTGTACAACTTTCTGCTGAAAAGGCAGAATGCATTAGAAAGAAATTAGTGAAATTATGGCAGCTGGCAGAGGAAATGAAGAAAAGCTTTCTGACATGGAAAGGAAATTAAGCCTGCAACTTAAGGACAAACTGGATGCATCCACCACAGTGGTTAACAGAAGATTAAGTGTCACTATTAAGTTTCAAAATTAAAAAACCCACTTCTATAAATGAGGCAATACATACCTCTTTGGAAGTTAGAGCCCTAGGTTATTTGGCAGCACCTGCTGAGTCTGCTCAGCTAGTTTCCATGGAAGTTTTTCTTCGCTAACCAACAGAATCTAAATGAAAGTGAAGAGTCTAGCAGACACTTGGGGTAGTACTCAGACACATCACAGAAAAAAACACATGCTTTTGTTATGAGAACCTTCCATGTGTGTGAAAATGCTTAAATGAAGAAGATTTCTATGCAGTGAGTAGCAAAGGTGGCTTAAATTTGTTCTTCTGCTCTTTAAATGTGTTCTCAAACATTTCCTACTGTAATACTCAGCTGGACAGATTCAGAGTGCACAGTTCCACCAGACAGAAATGTATTCAGATCCCTCACCACAAGAACATCCACTGTCATAGCAAAAATAGAGCTTTTTCCATTTTTAACAGACATTCACTAATCACACAAAAGTGCATAATGGATCAGTACTCCCTTAGATAGAAACATCTATGACATACAGCTGGCACCTTGAGTTTATTAAGGAACTGGTTTGTGGTTGTTTGTGGGTTTTGGTTTGTTTGGGTTTGGTGTTTTTTTTTTAATAACCAACACAATACTTCCGCTCTAAACAAAAAAAAAAAAAGAAAAGTAACAGAAATTAAAACTGGAAATTGCAAGGAGAGAAGGGACAGAACAACAGCTCTGGACTGTTCTAACTTAACAAAGACCTGCAACAACAGATCTCCAAACCCAATGCCAAACAGTCATCACACTTAAGAAGGTAGGGCAAATTTATCCAGTGACCAAGACTGCAGAGAGAAGTCTCATAGTTCATGCACCCTTGCAAAAAGCACAAGCTGATGTATCACCAGTTCAGTGAATTGAGATAGCACTAGCACTTGTGATTTCAGTCTTCTCAAGTCTCACATTTCATTACTCAGTGGTAATTAGGTTATTTTTTTTTTGTACAAAGCTAGTTTAAAGCCAGTAATTACAATCTCTACCAAGTACAAGTTCCAGAGATCCCCATGATGCAGTGTTGCCCGTCAGCCACTGCTGGGAAGTGTGTCTGTACCGGCCAGAGTGCATGCAGGGGAGTGCTTTCTCCAGCCCAACTGAGCAAGCCTCATTCAAGGAAGAAGCAACCAAGGAGACCACAATCACAAATGAACTAAGAATTATGATTTATCCACTTTGTGCGTGCGCTCATGCCTCCGTAGGGTACCTGACTCAGTGAAGGAATGACCACAGTAATTGCAAGAGTAGGGCTTCTCTCCAGTATGGATGCGGTGATGGCGCTGGAGCGATGCCAGCCGGGTGAACGACCCTCCACACTCCTCACAATAGAAGGGGCACTCCCCAGAGTGAGTCTGCTGGTGTCTTTTCAGCCTCAGCAACTGGACAAATGCCATGCCACACTCCTGACACTTATAGGGTTTGTCTTGTCGGTGAATCACCTTGTGTTTGGAAAGCAGGTTAGGCTTATCAAAACCTTTGCTGCATGTTGGACAGGAATAAGGTTTATAGTCATCCTCCTCAGGCTTGTGGTTCTCTGCACAAGGCTGATCAGTGTATTCAACAGTGTGTTGGTTACGGTGTGCTACTGACCACGGATTCCTAGCCATGCCATTTCCCAAGATCACCATGGAGCGCTCTATCTTGTGCACATTGCGCAGGTGCCTCCAGACATCAGCTGTGCGAATGAAACCCTTGTCACACTCTGGACATTTGTGTGGCCTGTCACTAGAATGAATGAGCTTGTGCATTCGCAAGTTTGCTGCACGGAAGAACTCTTTGGCACAGACAGGACATTGGTATGAGTTTTCCACAAGGTGAATTCGCTTATGTTCCTGCAGCTCACTCATACCCTGGAAAGTGGAACCACACTTCTTGCAACCATATGGCAAAGCTTCCTCAGGGATAGGCTCCAGGTCTTCATCAAACATGTCCACAAGAATGGTATTTTTGTTATCAGCACATAGTCTTCTCTGTGGCTTCTCAGACTGCTCAGGGGAACAGTGCTGTAAATCTTTATCTTCATACTGCAGGTCAGAGTTGGTACTGGAGGGAACAAATATCCCAGCTGTACTCTCACCTCGTTTCTGGTAGTAGGTCTCATAGGATTCTTTGTCTTCATACTGCAACTCTGCAGGAAGCTCCTGCTTACCTGGAGGTCCAGCAGAGTTGCAACAGGGAGTGCATGTCCTCGAGTAATTCATGTCTGCCTCCTTCTGGAGGCTGGATATGTGGCCCACCTGCTTAGAGGTCTTCCGGGAATAATCTGAATGCTTCGTACCTGTGTCACAAATGTTATTCTCAGAGTCCCAGACCACATGCATATCCATCCTCTGAGGCATACACTGTGTTCATCTGCAGCTCATCAATGATATGTATGCCAAGAGCTTCAAGTCTTTCATGGGAAACTCATCTCATTCTCAGCTCTCTTTACTGTCCTCTCTACAAAATAAAACACACATTTAATCAGTGATTTTTCTGGTAAAAATAAAGTTATCACAGTGAAGATTTTCTCCTGATTAAAAGAATGGGGAAGACTATTAATTATGCAGTAGGAGACACAGAATCATCTACTATTATATATTTAGAAAATATACATTCAGCATACAAAACAGAAACAGACCACATTTAAATCCTCTATCATAATCCAGCCTTCACTACAAATATAAATTGATCATTTCCATTCAAAATTCACCTAAAGATGAGAAAACTCCAGAACTCTGGGATTCAAGATTTTTGACAAAGTCCTACACCATAGCTGCCTCCATCACAGCTATTTTTCTGAGGATTCATGCTTAATGCTTGTTTTTACCTTGCTAAATATTAACTAGGAGTACCAGTCACAAGGTGTTTCTTTTAGAAACTTAAGTGATGCAGTGAGACCCAGAAACTGTGTCAAAAACCCAAACCAAAAGTAACGTACGGAAGGGGGTCTGGAGAGCTCAGGAGTGCCTTTGGCCTCCCATCCTGACCAGCATTATTATAATTGTCTTGAAGATGTTTTGGGTCCCTGTGCCACTACCAGTTAGCATTATGCAAAGAAGACATAATGCAAGGAAAGGCATGAAAGAACTGTCCAGAAAGCCAACCTACCCTGGGCTGCATCAAAAGGAGCGTGACCAGCAGGTCAAAGGAGGTGATCCTGCCCCTCTACTCTGCTTTTGTGAGACTTCACTTCGAGTGCTGTGTACAGTGCTGGTATCCTCAACATAAGGACACGGAGCTCCAGAAGCAAGTCCAGAGGAGAGCCACGAGGATGATCAGGGGTTGGAGCACCTCCCATATGAAGATAGACTGAGAAAGTCGGGGCTGTTCAGCCTGGAGAAGAGAAGGCTGCGTGGAGACCTCATAGCAGCCTTCCAGTATCTGAAGGGGGCCTATAGGGATGCTGGGGAGGGACTCTTCATTAGGGACTGTAGTGACAGGACAAGGGGTATTCTATGATTCAAAGTACAGCTAGTAATCCTCCAGAGCTGGCCCACTGGAACAACTTACAGCTTCAAATTCTCTGGCTAGACTCCCTTTCCAGACCAGCCTTGCTAGCAGAAAATATAAGCAATGGTAACTGGTCAGAAATAGCTGACTCCAACTTTCTTGTGAAGAAGATGCCATTGCTCACGCCATACTAAAGCACGGATTCACAAGGGGTTTTCTAGATTTGTCCCAGCAGCCCCTGTTGACAGCAACTCCACATGGAGCTTTCACTCACCTTTTTTAAACACTGAATTGCTAATCTAAGATCAGAAATTGCATTTTTCCCATCCTGATGGATGGATACCTTGACAGCCCCCATCTTCTTCATACCTACTTTTCATATTCCTTTTACTCCCACTTTGATTTCCTCTTAACTGCTTCTGTCTAGGTAAGACATTCCTGAATACAAAACTATATATATATATAAAAACACATATATGTAAAAATATGCATTTCGGTATTTCTATGTGTACATGAATATAAAGCTTGTCTGTTCAGTTTCAGTGGGTTTAAATAGTTATAAAGGACTATATCAGTGTGCATAAAGAGATAAGTCTTGTTCACAGAAAGGCCAGCTTCATGAGACACAAGGTGCGCTTTCTTCTGCTCTGATACAGAAAACATGCTGAATTAGTCTTCTTCACTAGTCACTGCCTGACAGAATGGCTCGAGTCACCCCCCAACTTCAACCATTCCCGTTAATTTACTAACAAGTGTATGAGAACAGGAACTATTCCTCACCTCCTGCAAGGTGCTGAGCATCTCCCGCAGCACACCGCCAGCTCGGTAACTGATCTGCTATTTTCTTTGTCGAAGAAAAACTTTTCACGGCAGACTGGCACTGCTTGGCTTATGAAAACTCCCGGACGAAGGCCAGTCCGGGTGCCACGGGGGGATTTGTAAATCATGATGTAGGATTAAAAATAACAGCAATAATTTAAAACTGAAGGGGTGGATTTTGGCCCTGGCAGAACGAACCCCAACTTCTCCCCGCGGCACAGCCGGGGGCCGCTCACGCCGCCGCTTCCCCCACCGCCCGGCCTCGCTGCCACCGCGCAGCCCCTCGCGCCGGCGCGCAGGCCCCCGGCTGAGGCGGCGGCGGCGGCGCAATGGCAGCGCTGAGAAGCCCGCAGCGGCCGCCGCTGCCAGTAGCGGGGCGGGACCCGGGCGGGCCGGGAACCCTCTCCAGGCCCCGCCGCCCGAGTCAAACTGCTGCGGCAGCGGCCGGCGGGGCCGGGGGATCCGGAGGAACGTCCGGGTGGGACAAGCGTTGGTTCCACGCGAGCAGGTGCCCTTCCCGCCTGTCTCTGCAGAAAGGCGCGCTCGAACCCCCGGTGCTCCGAGGACTGGAGCCGCCTCCCCAGCTCCAGCCGGCCGCAAGTCACAGCGCGGTTGTGCCCCCTCTCTCTCGCTTCACAACGGCAACAACAGCGTCTTCCCGCAAAAGTCTGGCGGTGACTGGATTCACTTTCAAGCCTTCCTTTGGCAGACGGAATAGGCTCTGCTCATACGAATAAGGCTCTGTCCATGTCCCCAACTTCCGCCTCTCACTTCCAACTCGAATAACTATTTCTTCACCCCGAGTGCCCAGAGCTGCACTCCTTGTGTCTCACCAGGGCCTTTCACAGCAGCATTATTTCCTTTTTCCTAGGCGAAGTCCTTTGCCAGAGACAAAACAGGATCCTATTTGCCTTTTCCAAAACCACAGTACAGCCACATTCCATTGGCCTTCCCAGGCTACTTCTCTCCTTCCCGTATAGCTGATAACCCACCAGTCTGGAGCAGAAATTGCCCCCATTTCTCTACTGCCATTTCTGGAAGACTTCTCACTCTTCCGTGGTTCTGCAGCCCTCCCCCCCCAGTCACACTCCTTGTCAGCAGGGAGAAGCACCACTGGGAAGCTCCCAACAGCTTCTGTTCAATTACAGCCAGTGGTCCTTGACCCACTCCCCTCAGCACTCTGCATTTGTTCCCCCATTATTGTACTGACCAGTTCTACGCTTCCTGCAGTTGAAAAACTGCTCTCCAACATCACCGTGCTGCTCCCATTTCTAACACTGCAGTTGTATTGCACACTGGACGCCTGTCTTGCTGTCTTAACAAAACTACAAGTTTGGGAAATGGGCTTCTACAATTAACAGCAAATACAGAAGTGAAATTAATATTGAACAGGAGTGTATATTATTAGATGTAAATACGGTATATAAGAATGCTTCAAGTTCTACATCTTTTTGATCTTGCAACTCTTTCTAAAAATAGGCAGGAAGAAAGAAACTGCTGAGAATCAAGGGTGAGGAAAAGAAACGTACCTACTCCCTTCACACAGAAAAGTGAGCTACTTCTGAGAGCAGAGTAAGTGGCAGTTCAGTTCCTTCAGACTAGGCAGTTAAAAAAATAAGCAACATTCCTTTAATGACAGTCCTCGAATCCATGAGCAACAGTTCTCGAATCCATGAGAAACCCACATGCTGCTTAGCATGGCGAACCTTGCAGATAAAGAACCACCACTTCAACTCTCAGAAACTATGAAAAAGACCTCAGATCATTTTCATTACTTTTATTATAATTTTTTGATTTTAAAATTCTTAAACATTTCTTACTGCAATGCAATAGCTGGGCAAGATAAATGCTTTCTTCCACCTGGACCTAAGATGCATGGAATCACATACTCCTCCCACTTCCCTTATGGAAGACAAGCATACAACCCTCCCCTCGTTCATCAGTTCTCACAAGGAAAGCTCTAGTGATACATAAGCACATACAGCACCGATATCTCCACAGCCAAGCATGCCTGTGTGGGTGCAGATGATGAATGGCTATTTAAAAAGAAACCGAACAAACCATGCTTTATCAGACCCAGTACATTCAAACAACATGAAAGGATGTATGGAGAGAAGAAATGGATGCATCGTTCTGGCCACGTGGGCTGTGCAGCCTCATAGTGACTTGTCTGAAACCCAGTCCCAGAGGGTGGTGATGATCTAGACAGGAACACTGTAACTTAACAGACCACTTGCACACCAGAGCTCTAATTTAACACATCCACCTGAAAAGCACCCATGTCCAGAAGAGTCCAGACAGTCCTAATTGTATCCAATGGCTACACAACTTTCTTGACTTCAATCTGGTACAACAGCAGCATTTCCTCTTGCAGCTGCCAACCAATGGTGTAATGCGAACAATCAAGAGTCTTCCTCATAAGGATAATGGAGGAATGATGAAAGTATCTCCAGATGCTCTAGATCCTCCTCATCCTCAAAAGCATCAGTAAGAATGATGCTTTCATCATCCTCCCTTGTCCTTTCTTGAGGTTCCTCACTGTGTTCAGAGGAAAGGCATTTTAAATGTTCATCTTCACACTGCAGGGAAGGTTGTGGCATTGGTTGAATTATGCATCTGGTAATGAGTTTCAAAGGTTTCCTCTTGTGGAAATCACGTAAGTATTCCTCAGCTGTGTGACAACTGTCATTAACAAAGACCCAGTTCATCTCCGTCCTATAATATCATATAGTGCTTACTTGTTAGTAATTGTGGAGATGGGCAGTACAAACTCCTGTGACGTCTCATGGTTGGCTTCTTTCATCTCAGCTTCCTTGGAAAATAAACAAGAATTTCAGTATTTGCCAGACAAAACTAGCATTTAAGCTGTCAGCCTAACTGAAAATACTTTAGTGGTAATAAATAACACGGTAGACTCCATTTGGTGTCTCATCGGTTAGATCAAGAACCCAAAGCAACTCTGTTGAGTGCACTGTGTCCTCTGTTACTGATCCAAGATGAGACAGAAAAGGGCTTCTACGGCAAGGTGATAAAAGCAGCATGTACACACTCCAACACTTAAGACTGACAAAACTGCCAACACACTCCTAAAATGCATAAGCACAGTCCCAAAACCAGTCTCTTGCTTTCACTAATGAAGAACAGGCCAATCTACTAAAGTTTCCCTTTTAACCTAAAAAAAAAAAAAAAGGAAATTCGGAGGTCTTATTTCCTGTTCATTGGTCTTTAGACAAATATACTTAGTTCTACCAAGTTCCATATATTTTATTTTTTACTCCTAATACTAAGGTATTTAAAATGTGCTCTGCCTTCTGATTCATATGTTGCATTTATAAGCATACAATTTTACTACATTCTAAACCTTTCCCATCAGCCTTGATGAATTATTCCAGCACACACAAAAAAATAAGCTGCAATCCTCAGGGAGAAGGAGGCAGAAAAATAAGTGAAACACCCATCTATTTACAGTCTATGATTCCTTACTGAATAATAATAATAATGGCAATTATGACGATTATAATAATGATGATGACGAGTTATGTTATTGGTGCTTTGTACCCACCCTACATTTATATTCCCAACACACATATATGGATGCCAAATCCTTTTTATTTATGCTACCTTACTTTTATGTCCTTAAAATGTGAGGAGTCTGTCAGGACACATGAGCATCTGTATTTGTCAGTTTGATCTGCTTTGGAGTCATTTTTAATTTTTTCTTAAAAAAAAAAAAAAAATAGACTCTACACTCCCATGTTTCCATTATATTTGCTAAAATGTGCAAACTCGCTCACTGTCACAGTGGGAGCTCAATATATTTTATTAAAGGCTTAAAATCACATTCTATCAAAGTTTATGTTTTATTATATGTTTTATTAGTCGCATAGTTTTCTCCCCTGAAACTTTAAACATCTGAAAGCTTCAGACTCTTCTACATAAACAGATCCCCCAGGTTTTTTTTTCTGAGTAGGAGCTGAATTCATAGAGTCTTAACATTTTGCTGAACTTTTAACACCCCAGGGGAAAGTGGACTCCCCTTAGCACACTGAACTGTGGTGAAAGAGTAACAAGAGCTGTTGTTTTTTGCTTTTGCAAGAACATTATCACAGCACCTGACAGCAAGTTTTGTCTTACCAAAGCTGATTACACCACCTGCAACCTGCTACAGCCAGAGAGAACAGCAGTCAACACTCCAACAGTACCCTGCTGAAAGCGCAACTAAGAGAAGGTTAAGGATCTCTGATGGGTCCTCTCTCAAAACATGCGAGGCAAGGAATTGTCACACTATCCCTAGCCGCCTCCAGCCTGCTATCATAACATGATTTTAATGTGAATCTTGCCAAAGTCTTTGGGAACTGTCATCTGTCATTCAGCTGGCATCTGTCATTCAACTGGCATCTCATGAACAAAGCATTTGGAAAAAATTAACACATTGAGAAACCAAGTCCTAACTACAGTAAAAGTCAGATACCTTTACAAAATCTAGAATCAAGCTGTAAAGAACATGGAACAATTAACAGAGAGAAACTAAGCAAGGACTGCAAAAAGCTGGCTAGTCAAGTACCAACTTTCTGGCATGCTTTAGTTTTTCAAACTTGCATTTTCCTTTATACCTATTGATCTAGACTGTCAGCAAATTTCTGGGCAAAACTGTTGCAAACATCTGATTTTACAAACATCCCCAGCCCAACTCTGACAGCTCAATTCAGGTGCTGGACATGCAACACTGCAGAGTCTGCAAAGTAATACCTGACCCTTCTGGTGCAAGACGGTGCAAATGCACAACCAACCACACTCTACGGCTGCCTGCAATGGCTGGAGTTTTAGAGAAGTCTCTTACCTGCACATGCACCTTACACAGCTTTGGAAACCCTCAAATTGAGTACATAAGAGTTAACGGAGAAATCTCCACCTACTGAGCAGTTCTCTTAGTACACCTGGCCTGTAACCAGTGGTTCTTTTTGTAACTTTTGGATTAGTAGGCTGACTCAGAAAAGCATTTGATAATTTACTCAACCATTTTTACTAGAGTACCTGATTAAGCCTAAGCGGGACGGTTTTAGCAGTGCCCCAGTAAAACATAAACTCTCTCCAAGATCTGTTTTGACTAAGGACGCTGAACGAGCAGCTCCGACCGAAACACGGCACTTCACCGGGGCCACCCCAGCACCCCGCGAAGGGAATTTCCCAGCCCTCTCCCCTCGCTCCTCCCAGGGCAGAAGGGCGATGGGGAGGCTGGAAGCTCACATCGCCCGCGGCCGGGAGCTGCCCTCCCTGCAGCAGCAGCAGCACTCCCGATCCGACCTGGCTGGCTGCAACCAGGTTATGCTAGCCCCCTGAGCAGGGAGCGAGCACGCCAGCCGCCCCCGGGATGATGCGGCTGTGGCCCCGCCCGGCTTGACGGACAGCTCCCGCCACCAACCGACGCGAAGGACTGTCCGGTGCTACACACTGCCGCGCCCGGGGGACCGCGGCACCGGAGGCGCTCCTCCAAAGCTTTCGGTGGGCGCTGCAACCGGAGACCGGCCCCGTCACTCCGCCAGGGACCGACACAGCTAGAGAACTGCCCCGTCACACCCCCGTGGCACTGACACTCAGAGACTCCAGTGTGGCTGACACAGCCGGAGGCCAGGTCCTCTCACAACCCTTTGTGTGAGTGAGTGACCTGCTCCTGTCACATCCCCAGTGGGATTGATACCGCCAGGGATCTCCCATGTCACACCTCCAATGTGACTGACACCACTAGGGGCCTCCCCTGTCACACCTCCAATGTGACAGACGCAGCCAGAGGCCGGCCCATCTGATCCCCCAACGGGCCTGACACAGTCACACACCAGCCCCCGTCACTTCCCCAGTCTGACTGACACCCAGATGCAAGTCTCTGCTATTCTCCCAATTTGACTAATAAAGCGAGAAACAGCTCCCATCACATCCCCAGTGTGACCAGCGTAGCTGGAGACCGTCCCTTGTTACACGCTAAATGTGACTGACACCGGCAGGGACTGCCTCTGTCACACCCCAGTGTGACTGACACTGACAGACACCACCCCTGTTACACCCCCAGTATGACTGACACAAGCAGGGACCGCCCCTGTTACAGCGTAAACGTGACTGACACTGTCAGGGACCACCTCTGTCACACCCCCAGTGTGACTAACATAGGTGGGGACCACCCCTTGTCACACACTAAATGTGACTGACATCAGCAGAGACTGCAGCTGTTACACCCCAAATGTGACTGACACCGGCAAGACTGCCTCTGTCACACCCCCAGTGTGACTGACACTGTCAGGGACCACCCCTGTCACCCCCACCAGTGTGACTGATACAATCAGTGACCATCTTGTCACTGTTCCAGTGTGTCTGAGACCCTGAGGCTGTCCTGCTGTCAGATACACCTACGTGACTGGCACAACCAGACACCAACTCCTGCTCCAACCATCAACGTGACTGTCATGCTTCCCTTATGCATCACAGTCCCATGACGCTGACATAACCACCCCAGTGAGACTGTCACTCAAAACCCAGCCCTTGTCAACCCCCCGAGTAGGGCTGATCCAGCCAGAGCCCAGCTCCCACTACCACCCGTCAGCATGGCTGAGTGGTAAACCTTCCCACAGCTGTAGCCTCACCGACATCCAGGGCAACCATCCCATCAGCACCCTGTATGAAGGCCCAAAAAACCTGGCAGCAAACAGCACTAGTGCGTCTGCCACTCCACCAGATTGCCTGGCAGGGATTAGTCACCTGTCGCAGCCCCTCATGGCTGTCATGTCCCCTCTTCTCACACAGCTGGTGAGCCCAGGCCACGTCCCTCCATGGGGCCAAGGAAGCCAGAGAGCAGCCTCAGCTCACAGGGAGTCTCACTAGACATCAAAAAACACAACAGGAGATGGCACCACCGTGCTCACAGCAGGAGCACACTGTTCTGTAGGGTGCTTAGCAATGGAAACACCTCATTAGGGCACAAAGGCCTCCAAAATGAATAAAGGTGCCCTATCTCCATGTTCAAGCCTGCCTGCTCAATCCTTCTTCAAAACACACCCATTGGGCGAGAAGGATATTTGTCTTTTGGAGATCTTACATGCTCATAAATTCCAGGCTGCCAGGTGAAAATCATTGACATACAACTGTAACAGGGTTAGGGATGCTGAGGCATGGTGTGACACTGCTCTTTTTCTTCCACCTCATCCCAGTTTCCTGCTGACAATCTGCATCCGAGATTTTTCCCCCTCCCAAGAGTCTTTTATAGGTTTAACAAGTAAGGACAAGTTGTCTGTAATTCCTAATCAGAAGTCATGGCATTTGGGAGATTGAACACTATCCTGGAACATCAGTTCTGCCAGTTTATCAGTACAGCCTTTGTCACTGCTGTTTACACACAGTCAGTGCAAAGCTTTTCACACAAAATCTTCTGGCTGTACATTAACATACATTTTTTAACAACACAGAATGTCTGGATACAGCATGGAGATCCAACAACAGCAGCCATGCCCCCAAGCCAGGGTCTGCCATGCCTGTTGCATGTTGTGATTTATTCTGAGACCTGCTGAGCTGCCCACAGATAATGGTGAAATGATGGCACGAGAGAGCATGAGTGCACAATATATATGAGATATCCCCTAAATATACTGGCTATATGGGAGAAGCCTCCAGATCCAGGACTCTGCTAAATCAAGCCAGGGGTATGCTGCTTGTGCTATGCAGATGAGCTATCATATTGTCTCCCACACAAGACCATCTCCAAAGGAACCTACACCTACTGCAATTATCCTGCAACATACAGACATTTATAGGTCAACCTGGAAAAAGTGAGAGTAATGATTGTCCAAAAAAAGCAGGAACCCAAATAATTTTCCAGTGTTATTTTGGAAAATGCAGGCATGGAATGGGATGAATTATATATACCTGAGAGCCATTAGAAAATGTCAGATCACCTCTAAAATGCATTAGAAATAAAAAAAAAAAGCCTCCAGCTTTCCTCTGCAAGAAGAGAATGCAGTATGCAAATAAGATTCCCTAATAAAAATCAGCACTGGAATGACCCTGCAAGCGTATTCCTAATCCTCTCTTGTGATGGGGACACAGGCTGGGGTTTTATCCTAACAGCTAAAAGCACCATTGAGCTGAAACTCTGACAGAAGAGCTACACTTTCACTGCAGGTGCAACCTCGCTGTATAATACAGGAACTGCTCATGTAATGATTCCAGAAGAAACCCAGAATATTTGTCACCCTTTGAATTGAGCTGAAAAAAACACCCAAACAAAACTTCTGGTGCCAAGTCTATGAAAAGAACGTACGTGTCTTGACAGAACAATCCTGGATAATTTAAAAATGAAGACCAACCAACAATGCAATATTAAGGTGTTGCTGGAGGAAGTGGACTGGCAAACCCCAAAGTCTTCATTTCCAGACTCTCAGCATTCACCTTCAGCATGTACCTGCCACATCTCCCAGTTGCATGCACCATTTCCAGTATATTTTTCCAAAGCTTCAGCTTCTGGAAAGAGCCAAACCCTCTGTTGACTGATGCTTCTGCTGGAGAGCTGAGTTTTCTATAATTAGCATCAGAGAGAATTTCGGAGGGAGCTGTCTCTTTTAGCTTGGGTTTGTGTTTTGGTTTGGGTGTTTTTTGTAAATTTGGATGTTGCACATTTTAAAACAAAACATTTTACTTAAAACATCAGCACATCAATTCATAATTGCAGAATGGAGACAGGAGCATGTCAGTAGCTGAAAAAGCATTAAAATAGCATGGAAGTGACTGAAATGTTTGCACAGAAGGGGGCAAATGGAGATAAGACAAGCAATCTGATTGCATTCAGCTGTTGGGAAACTTGTACAGCACAGACTTATCCTTTATAAGGGGGGGGGGGGGGGGATAAAACTATAGAAACACCTGCTCTCCATTCTCTCCTATGTGTGCAAACTCTCTTTAGATGAACTACTGGACCACAGCTTTATCAGTGGAAACAGTACTTTGCCACCAGAAGAGATCCCTCTCACAATCTTCCTGTTGCAGGACTATGCTGGAAACCGTATTCACGAAGGTCAGATTGCTCAAGGGGGAGAAACGCTCTGCCCTGAACATTTTGGTCACTGCTGGGATGACCAAGGTTGCCGTCTTTGCACATTTGTATGAATTCCTTTTCATTTGTCTCTTTTTCAGTTTTCTTTGTCATAATCCTCAGGAAAAGTGAAGACATAAAAATCCCTTGCCAGTAGGCAGCTATTGAACCCAGACTGGCCATTTTTTAGCTGCTGCAGGCTGTTGTCTCCCTTGAAAGAGGAACTTGGAGTGAATATGATCCTGTGGGACTAGGCACAGTTGGGGCTGCAGAGAAGCTTTGTTTTCAGCACTGTAAACACTTCGTAAGAGCTGTTCTTTGACAGGGAACTGAATCTCTACTGCCCCATGTGTATGAGGTGGCCATGTCAATAGCGGCAAGCTTTGTGCCAGCACCATGGCTTTCCAGGATGAACTGCTCCAGCAAAATCTCTTTGCACTGCCCACGTGACTATGCAAGAAGGACACCCAACTTATATTAAAGACACAAATGTCTCAGCAAAACCCCTCTAACCCATGAGGCACAAAAGGTCTGGTTTGGTTTGCATTTTGCGGCTTTCCTGACATGAAGTATAACAAGCACAGTATCATCTTCTTACACTGGGGAGATACCGCAAAGCACTTACCTGAAATAGAGGCGTCAGTTCTCCATCTGGTAGGAAAACAAGCTTAACATTTAAAACACATTGCAAATGGAAACAAATGAAGTCCTGAATGAGTGCAGAAAGGAACAGAACGTACTAAAACTAAACAGGTAATTGCTGATAGATTATCTGGAAGCACAGGTTGACACCAAACAAACCGGGAGATAGAGCTAAAAAATTGCCGATAACCAAAGCAGAGCTCCAGTGCAGAGTGTGGTAACAAGCAATCTTGTTCTTGACACCTCTGTATTTGCTTTCTTAGGAGCTCAAGAGTTATTCAGATTAAAAAACATGACTCGCATGAATCCAGTTAGCATTATTCACACCATTTTGCACACAGATACTCCACAACTGCCTCTGTGACTTTGCATAGAAACTATACCTGATTTTGTATAAAATGATCAACTTGCCAAGTAAAATATACGTTGTCCTATTTTTTTTTCTTTTCTCCCAGAGAACTGAAACTTGAGGTAATGAATCAAAAAATGTAAAATGATCAGAAACCTCCTGGAAAAAGGGGATAAATAAATATTATTTTTGTTCAGCTGAAGAATCTATTGGTTATCTG